TCTACTTTCTTCTCCATGAATTTGACAAGTTCAGGTACTTCAAATACATAAAATTATATAATGGTTGTCCATTTACACCTGGTTATTTCACTGAGCATATTTTTCTCAAGGTGAACATCAAAACTTTTTATAAAACAAAAATACACATTTCATTTGTAAAAATGACTAAAGTTTAACATTGTAATCAAACAGCAACAACATCATCAACAACGTGTACAAAGCACCTTTTGCTGGAATCACTTCATTCATTCCTCACAATTGCCCTGTGAGGTGGGCTTTACAGATGAAGAAATGAGGTCCAAGGAGGATAAGTCATTTGCCCAAGGACAGGAAGCTTGTAATACAAACATGCATATGCAAGTCTCCCAACTCCATCCCCAAACTCCCAGTCCCTTTGAATTGACAGTATCGGCTGCCTCCTAGCCCACTACCATGCCACTTGTAATGGTGGTCAAGAGAGACCCATGTGGAAGGAAGAGCCAGGGAAGGCTCCAAGAATGAGGAAGAAGCTTCTGCTAGAAGGGGGGAAACAAATGGGCATGCCAGGCAGCACCATGACCATCAGTGACCTGGATGCAGATGAGCCTGGGTACTGGGCAAAGAGGAAAGAAGCCGCAAATGGATTGGAACAGTGTGTATCCTAATCAAATTTGAAAAGAGCTTAGAAGAACCCTTTCATTCCCACCTATAATGACTTACCTTAAACAAGAACCTTTGTTCTTTTTTTTTTTTCTGCTTTACCAGAGTATAGAGATAAATAAAATTTCAGCCAAAAGCTACATGCACCCCTAGAGCTTCCTAGTTGGCATCAGCTGCCAGTCGGCATCTCTATTTTCACCGCATCCTGGACTGGAGGCAGGATGTGGAAGGGATGAATATCAGAAGTGATATTCAATTCATACATTACAAATCCTGATAGAAGCCAAGTAAGCACTAAAGTGAATTTAATGCATTTATTTGATTACCATATAGGCTACCTTTGCCTTTAAGATTGGCTTCCACAGAGCAAAAAATAATAAAAGCAAAAAACAGCCTCAGTTGTGAACCACAATTTTCTAGAATTTGTTTCATCTTTTCCAAAAAACATTACTTATTTTCATCTTATAATGGAAACCATATTAAGGAAGGTAACTTACAATTTTTTTTTCCTGAGAGAGTGGGTGCATGTGCAGGGGAGGGGCAGAGGGAGAGAGAGAAAAAACATTTTTGGGGGGAGAGGGTGCAAGTGAGCAAGCGGCAAAGGGTAGGGGAGGGGAGGGGAGGGAGA